ATATACGAGCTCGCACCAACCATATCCGTAGTACATTCAAACCCAATCTTCACCCCCAAACACCTCAATAGAATGCACACAGCCCATATCTTCTCAACTCAAATATGTCTAACGCACACAATAAACCACACCGCTCTCGCACACACCTTTTCTCTAGTCGCGAGGAGCTGCGCGGCCTCAGCCTCGCACGCAGGCACCTCCGCGTTTGCACCAGTCCATGAAGCCATTAAGTGCGCCTCGAGCACGTGCACGCTGCTATCCACAGAGACACTCCAGACACACTGTCCTTTTTCTAGGCCGCGACCACCGCCAAGCTCGGAAGCCATGTCCACAGCACTGGCGTTTCCTGTGCTATTTATAGATCCCCTCTGAGTGGCTGCCTTTACTCCACCGACTCTTCTCACGGAATCGACTGTGCTATCGTTTCCACTCACACCGCTCGCACTGTGCTGCCCAGGTGCACGTGCAGCGGTGTCCTTTCCAGATGCATGTGTACAGGGCCATAATTGCCCTGATTCCAGGTCCAAAGGGCCGCACGTGTGCACCCACACCCACAGAATCAGCTTGGCAATGTTGGTGTGCTTCCGTCTGTGCCATCGGCGTGCCTTGGCCCGTCGCTGTGCTGCGGTGGGGGTGCGCTGTTGAGGTTGGGAACGTGCCGTTACTGGCGCGTTTAGGTCAGTCCTCTCTGTCTTCACTGTGCTGGGAATGGATACCTTTGCCTGCGATGTAGAGTGGCTGGATGTGCTTGTATTCTGATTAGGTGTTTTTATCTTTGACGTGTTCGTATTGGTCTGTGTCGGTGCATAGTGCGGCGGTTTGTGATGCTCCGTGACACGTGATGGCTCATTGCTGTGTGAGTTCCGTGTGATGATGTGGTTGTGCATCGCTGTATGCGCTGTCTCATCCACCGCAGGTGTAATAGGGTCTGTGTGTGAACATCCGATTGTCGATGACACGGACGACTGAGACGGTGCACGTGGGTGTGGGTGTGGGTGTGGGTGTGTGGATGAGGGCTGGTTTCTTGAGTTGAGCACTTGAGACGTCAAATGCACTTCAAAAGGCGTTGCCTCTGTGAGATGCGCTGGTGTCGCACCGTCACTCGCAGTCACACAAGGGTGCCCCACCAGTACTTCCAGCAGCACTTTCAACGGCGACGTTGCTATGGTTACCGGGGGTGTCGCCGTGGGATGGGTGTGGTGAGAGGGTACACATGTCGTATGCTGTCCGTCAGCACCTGTCCGAGCCGCTTGGCCTCGAGAAGACATTGCTCTCAGCATTGCAGCGCGTTTCCACCCCACACCAGCACTGACACTCCGCATAGCCTCGTGCATACTTCCAAAGTACTCCTTAAGCGCATCTGCCACGGCCCATTTGCTCGGCCACGCGCACACGTGTTCGTCTGCACTATACTGCGCACTCTCACGGGCACTCGCCCCTGTGCACTGTGCACGTGCGCATGTGTCATCGTCCCATGCCACAGCTTCGTATGGCGGCTGCTCTTGCGCATGCACGCCTCCATCCGCTCTCATCTGCTGCGGTCCTGCACCGTGGTCGTGTGCGTGTTCGCTGCCTTGCGCATCTCTTCTGGCGAAGGGGTCGGCAGCACACGCCACATCCAGCAGTGAGTGCATCAGCTCCTGCAGCACACGCACCGACGTGTGCGACGACACCCCTGTGAGGCTGCGGTGGTCCCTCTGCGCATTATCTGTGTCTCCACACAGAGACCTCAGGTGAGTCGCGTGCGCGTGTGGATGTGATCGTGAATCGCTGTGCGTGTTGTTGGTGGCCTGTGTGTGCGTGGCATGGGGTGGGCCATGATACGCCCGTGGACATATGTGGCGATGTGTGGGTGTGCCCCCACACTGCGCGTTGAAGAGCGCGGCACATTGCGTGAGCTGTGCTACAGCGTCTCGTAGCGTCATCTCCAGTGCCGTCTCTCGCCGAGCGGTTTGGTCCTGTTGATCTGTAACGTCTGCTGTGTGTGTACAGGAGCATGTGTATATGCACGCAGACGCACACGCCCCCGCACCCGCACGCACACATGTACGCACACACCCCGTACCATGAGAGCTAGCACAGGACACCTTGCGCAATGCACGGTGCAGCGACTGAACCACAGCCGCGCCAGTGATGGGCTGCACACGCAAACGTTTGCAGTTGGCTTTGATAGGGCCCTCGTCCACAGCACACGCGTGTGCGTGTCGCGGTGTGCGCACATACGCATCCGTGTGTTGAAAGGTGTGCTCGTGTCCACTGCCATCGCCACTAGCAATTATCTCGACTTTCCCAGCCCTACCCACAGGCACTCTCCTGTGTGCGCTGCTTGCCATGGCTACGTCCACGCCTGTGTGCTGCTGAGTCCTTACTTCACCACAGCCACTCCCAGCCACCTGGGCATCCGTCTGCAACTCTTCGCCCGAGTGCACAGCTGTCTGCCCCACAAATACATCTCTGCCCACCCCATCAGTGGGCCCCTCTGACATACTCCCACTGCTCACATGCCCTTCAGCCGTAGCACATCTCTCGTCCTGTGCTTCTGCCCCACTCCACAGGGCGTAGTGGTTCGTTGCCGTGTGCGTGGCAGTCACTCTCCTGCTGTTCGTTGTGTCGTACACAGGCACGTTGCTGCGGTCCTCTGCTAACGCCAACCCGCCCAGCACACGCTGTTGGTCTGGTCTTTCGCCTGCGTCTCCGTGCATCGGGGTGTGTGTGTTGCGTTGTGTGACAGTGCTACTGCTATTTACTGCTCGCCTGTTGCTATGGCCATGCCCTGTGGTTGTCTTTGTCAGTGCTTCATCCGTGCTATAGTTCACACCAGCTATCCTCCCCACATCCCTCCCATCGGCTTCGCCTTCACCGAAACTGTGCGCATCGATTGTATTCGTTCGCTGTGTTGCGTGAGACGCACTTTCTCGTTTGCCAGCGGCTGCTGCAGACAAGCTCCTTTCCTCCATTGCATCATCACCACCGCCACACGAGTTGCCTGCATCTTCAACCTGATTGGACGGCTCCGCATTGCTAATTATAGAACATCGGGCTGCTGTATGTGCGTCCGCAGGCTGCATTGCACTTTCTATCGCATGCGTAGCTGGCACAGCTGTCTGTCTCTGGCAGGGGTTCTGGGACATCTGTAGCTTTGTATCTGCGGATGGGCCGTTCACTGCGTGCGGTGTAGTGACTGGTTGGTCTTTCGGTGTACTGTGCAAAATGTGAGTGGCTGTGGCTGTGACCGCATATGGTGGGCTGTCATGGCCATATGTCTGTGCGTGTGCGTCACTTGGTGTTGTTTTCTGTGTGGCATCAGCTCTCCTCATTCCGGATGGGCCGTCTCTCTCTATGTATGTCGTCTCTGTTGCGATGGTGCTACCCCCCCTGTGCGTGGGCGCACCAGATTGTGTGTGCACATCTGTGTGCGTGTGCACATCTGTGTGTGTGTACACATCTGTGTGTGTATATAGACTGGTCCCGTGAGCGTGTACGTCTTTCTGTTGCAACCCTTCGAGCGTGTTGTAGGTTGTCGCAGGCGATTGCAACGCAGCGACACACGCTGACCGCCAAGCCTCAGAGACACTTTTTTGCACCTGCGCAGAACACAAGGACAGGTGTAAATACTTCCGGCTCAAAGGACACTTTCGAATCATCGAAGGTTTAGGTTCTGCTTCACGATGTGTATTGTCTGTGGGCAGCAATTGCACGCAGAAAGAAGCTACTAAAACATAAGCCCTACGTAGAACCACCAAGTGAGCATTGGAGCGTGCGCAGCTACAGTGTGTACAACTGCGTGGTACTTCTATGTGTGTTGTAGACAACGTGGAAGCATAACTGTGTCTATGCTTTATTTGTAAAACAGGGTCATAAAAATACAAAAACGTGGTGAGAAAATAAATATTGATGCCTTGACTGAGTGAGTTTTATGCGCATATTCTGAGAGCTAAAGTCGTTGATCAATGCTCACGCATGAATGGCCCATGATCATGCATACCTACTTAATGATATGCAGGTAAGCACACACATAATTGCACACGCGAAGTGGCAGTGGTTATGATGGACTCCTAATAGAATGCCTCTCGCCTGTGTGCGTCTGTGGCTTATTACGTTAATCAATACGCATCAAAGACTATGAAGGAGGTAGGTCATTGAATGGAACAGCTATCAAAAACAACGCATATACACGCCATTGCAATACCTTCGGTAGAATCAAAACGATTATATTATTTAAAGGTTGAAATTTAAAGCTGTATTTGTAGTCGTTGACATGCTTCTGCGGATTAAGCAGCTCTCAAATGGGTTGAATCCCCGAAACCCCTGAAAACCCTTTCATATACTTTGAAATACAATATCATGGAAAGTATTGCACACCATCTCAATGCCGAAATATAGAGACCAACCTATCAATAGCCTCTCCCAACACACCTGTGATTTGGTGCTGTCCTGGGACAACAGCTTGTGCATACAAGTCGATACAAACCGCTTCTGAGTCAGCGAAATGGCAGTCTGTACGGGGATTATTAATGAGGACTCAATTAGTGGACAGATAAACAGTGAACAGTAAGGAAACAAGCACAGGGTGTGCGAAGATTGAATTCACATCGATATAACGATTGATTCGATTATTTTTTCTTTCTTACTTCAGATGGACGTGTGAGCATATATACATATACATACACATACATATACACATATATATACATATACACAAACATAAATATATACATACACATATACACACACACACATATATATATATATTTACCTATACATATAAAAATACCTATACATATACATTTACAAATATATACATACCTATAGGTACAAGTTTAGATATAGATAAATAGATACAGATATATATTTATGCATACATATACACATACACGTACACATTTACATATACGTGTGCACAAACATATACATATACATTTACATATACATATGCATGTAGATTTAGATTTAGATTTAGATATAGATAAAGACATAGATATAGATATAGATATGGACATGGATGTAGATGTAGATATAGATATAGATATAGATATAGATATAGATATAGATATAGATATAGATATAGATATAGATATAGATATAGATATAGATATAGATATAGATATAGATATAGATATAGATATAGATATAGATATAGATACAGATATAGATATAGATATAGATATAGATATAGATTAACATATACAAATACATATACATATAATATACATATATATATATATATATATATATATATATACATTACATGTACATATACATATACATATATTTATACACATACATATACATATACATATATATACATATACATATACATATACATATACATATACATATACAGATACATATATATATACATATACATATACATATACATATACATATACATATACATATACATATACATATACATATACATATATATATATACATATGCATGACACCACTAAACACGAGTCTACATGTCGACATATACACCTACATAGCAAATGTGACATATTTTTGTACTTGCACGTTCCGGAAATACATGAGCATCATTGTTAAATTGAGGCATGGGTTGAGAGTGAATACAAATACACACTTTTAAAAACGCACGAACAATGATGACAGCTACTGATGTGCAAGATATAATATGTTCACAGCTACTGATGTATAGTGCTGCAAGTTCAATGGGAAACCCTCTCAACAGTTTCAAAAAAAATACAGAAACAAAAAGCGCACACGCGAACGTCAACGCTTTACTACTCGCACGTATAAAAGTTTAACCCACAAAAAATATGTCCCCACTCTGAATCCTAAACCTTAAAACTCAATTGATAGCTGCATTTGCGACTGCCTTTGCTGCCGTGGAGAAACGCGGACGTGTCACGCAGACAACTTCTCGCGCTCAAGTACATATAAGAACACCAACACACGCACAACCTTATATGCAGACTGTGACACCCCGTAACTGCATACACACATCGACACACGCACAATAACGCGCACATACACACATACTATGACATGTACAAGCGCAAAAAGCATGCCTGATCAAGCAAGGACCACAAGCAACAACAACAACGAAAGGTACATATAACAGCGCACACAGAAGAGAACACAAGTCATTTTCGTACATCAATACACACACATATATTCATTGCGCACGTACATACAAACAAACTATATATATATTTACATGTATATAT